GTTGTTCATCTCCAACAGTTCCGAAATGCTTTGGAAGAAGAATGGGCTGCTATTCCACAACAGGATATCCAAAACCTGATTAGAGGAATGAATCGACGTTTAGTAGCAAGAGGAGGTAACACGAGGTAGGTACTAATTTTTAAAACCCCTACTTTCATGCTTCAATTAAAAATAGACTTGATCAAAAAGTGTAAGGTTTATTTCAAAAATTTAGACTTAATCAAAAAGTGTAATGTTTATTTCAAAAATTCATATCTCCGAAACCGATAAAGATATCAAGACCAATAAAACAGCAAAATGTTGAAAATGGATCAAACTCTGCAGAAAAGCATATCCAGTGTAGCTTACTTCGCAAAATTACTCTACACAGAGTGTTACAAAGTTAAGAGAAAAAATATACTTTTTTATTTTCCTGGTATATTCCAACATGTAAACTGTATTTTTGAAAATTGAATAAAATTAATTAAAACCGAAACAATTATCTACATTATGAAAAAAAAAAAGATTGAAATCGGACTATGGAAGAAAAAGTTATCCTACATCAAATTTGATCTAAATTTTGGTTGTCCCGAATTTTATGTCGGTGAGTGTAGATAAGGGATATCATCAAGTTGCTCTAAGTTATCACCTTCTTGAATACAAATGTTGTGTAACACTGCAGTGGCTACTATTATATTACAGACAGTTTGAAGTTTTAATCGCATTCCCAATGACAAACAGGGAAATCGTCGCTTCCAAACACCAAATAGACGTTCTACAGTATTTCTGGTGGATATTTGAGCCCTATTATAGCGCTGTTCTGCCGGATTATGAGGATTTATTAATGGTGTTAATAAGTAAGTTTTGCATGCATATCCACTATCCCCAAGTAAACAATATGGGAAAAATTCTTGATTTTCAAACCTTGCTCGAATGATCGAGTCATTAAATATTGTTGAGTCATGCACACTACCAGGCCATCTAGACACAATGTCATTTATCATAAGATCACTATTGCCCACTACTTGCGTGTTTATACTAAACCATTGTTTGCGGTTTCTGAACACTTCAGCATTTTCTCCTCCTGAGGATTGGATCTTGATGTGTGTACAATCTAAAGCTCCTACAAAAAGGACATAAATGGTAATATCCAAGATAATAAAAAAAAAGAGATACCTACCTATTATTCCAGGAAGACCACGAATATTAAAAAACTTCATAACTGCTTGCCTCTTCTCTTCCTCTGTTCGTGGCATTCTGATGAATCGAGCTCTCAAAGCAGCAATGTGATTTGTAATATTTTGTACAATTCTCGACACACTGGGTTGTGAAACATTGAAATGATCCCCAATATTAATTTGAAACGATCCAGTTGCATAGTATCTGAGGCAAATTAATATTTGATTCCGTTTAGAAATGGGATAATTCTCAATGTATGTTTCTGGAACATCTAATAAATTCTCTATATATAAAAACGTATCTTTGTTGATACGGAATCTTCGCTTGAATTCAATTTCGTCCAGTTCATTGAATAGATCATTTCGTGGTCTCACTATTTTTGGCCTTCTTGCATTTGGAACTTCATCATCAGACGAGGAATCAGAAGACGACGAGGTATCTTGGACACGGTGAAACCTATCCATCTTTCTCTTTCAAAAAATAATCACCAACAACTTCAATTTTAAATGTTGTAATTTGAATAGAAAATAGAATACGTTTGTTTAGAAAAATCGTAAATAAACAGAAAAAAACTAACCTCACAAATATTGAAAATTTCCGTTGACTGTCAGTTAAGCCGCTTTAACTGGGCGATCTCCGGCGGTTAACTTTAACAAAATGTTAAGTCCTAACAGAGTGTCATGAATACCAAATATGCATGTTAACCAGCTGTTAGATATTTAACAAACCATTAACCAGTTAATTAATGTTCATGAATACGGCTGTAAGGGTCTCATTAATTAGTCAGTTATGTGGAGCACTATTAACTCCCTCACTATGCAAAAAATCCCGATTCTCCGAACACTACTAGATGCTGAAAATTGGACTTTAAATTCGAGCGATAAACCATACGCGTTGCATACAAGTGCGTAAAGTGCTACTTTCCCGCACGAAAAAGCAGTTAGTGTTAGGAACAATACTTTTTCTACGAGTGTTTGAAAATTTGCATAGCATCCAGAGGAGCTGTACCTAATCTTCTTAAATGTTTCCCAGATGCTCAAAGCTGGTGATTTTCTCTCTTTGTTCAATGTGCTCCGTTTTCAATTTTTTTTTAAGTGTTCAGCTTGACTTTTTTTGCAACAGTGATTGAGCTAGCAAGATTTACTTGAAATTTATTTTCCTTGCCAAATTTTGACACTGAACTTACCAGGATGATATTTTTTCATGTGACTTTTCAAATTAGTTTTACATAGCAACATGTACAGCATCTTCCCAAAATATCCTATCCATTTTTGCTTGCATTATCATAGATCTTGCTATGTCCATTGGTGTCTGATTCATTCTTTCCGCAACATCACTAGGTTGGGAAGTATATACATACTCCAAAGTAATGTGAGTTGGTGGCTCGTGGCTCCCCACGCCAATGGTCACCCAATGACATAGTTGGTCACCTGACATCGCACCTGTTTTTGCTGGATTTTCCTCCCCTCGGTCCTCATAGGGAAAGAGTCAAATTAAAAAAGCTAAGCATTACCATTACCTGAATGCCCTTCTTGGAACAAAAATAACACCAAGGCCTTCTTTTTAAATATTAGTTTATCCAGAAACCCACAAAACATTGAAAAATCGAGTATAAATTACTGATCTCGTATAAATACGGTAATTATGCGAAACAAAAATGAGTGCGCAAGGAGTTTCCGTGCTCAAAGTTCAACTTTGCGTACGCAAAGAAGTGTGAAAAGTAATAACTTTGCGCACGCGAGTAGAAATTTTTTTTTTTTGCGATTGACAAGAAATTTCAGCATTTTTGACCAGTTGACAGGTCGCAAAACTCAATATTCTGGTATTTCAATTATGTTTCAATAGTTGCTAAGGAATAATAACAATACGGAAATAGTTATTTTCCTAACAAGTGCGCAAAGTGATACTTTTCCGCACGAAAAAGCAGTTAGACGAACGACGCGAAGCGGAGTTCGGATAAGCTTTGAGTGCGGGAAAGACACTTTGCGCAAGTTTTAGGAACAAAACTTTTTCTTCGAGTGTTTGAAAATTTGCATAGCATCCTGAGGAGCTGTACCTAATCTTAAATGTTTCCAGATGCTCACAACTGGTAATTTTCTCTTTTAGTTCAATGTGTTGTGTTTTCAATTTTTTTTTTCTTCAGTGATCAGCTCGATTTTATTTGCAACAGTGGTTGTGCTGGCGAGGTTCACTTAAAAATTGTTTTTCCTGCTAAATTTTGAGAAGAAACTTATCAGGATGATATTTTTTCATGTGATTTTTCAAATCAGTTTTACATAGCAACAAGAACAGCATGATCTACCCACAATATCCTATCCATTTGTGTTTGCATTATCATAGATCTTACTTTGTCCATTGGTGTCTGATTCTTTTTTTTGCAACTCCACTAAGTTGAGGAGTTTATGGAGCAGTATTATAACTTACTGTCCAACTTCCATGATCTGATACTCCAAAGGAATGTGAGTTGGTGGCTTCCACGCCAATGGTCACCTGACCTTACATCTGTTTTTGCTGGATTTTTCCTCCACTCGCTCCTCATATAGAAAGTGTCAAATTAAAGAAGCTAAACATTACCTGAATCTGAATGCCTTTCTTGGAACAAAAATAACATTAAGCCCTTCTTTTTGAATATTAGTTTATCCAGAAACCCACAAAACATTGAAAAATCGAGTATGAATACGGTAATTATGTGAAAAAAAAATGAGTGCGCAAAGAGTTTCCGTGCGCAAAGTTCAACTTTGCGCACGCAAATGAGTGCGCAACGTAATAACTTTGCGCACGCGTGTAGAAAAACACTTTTCCGGCCTAGGCCGGGAAAGTGATTCTCGTATCGCTGAATAATTGGAACTAAAAGACAAACATTTAACAGGAATTTAACCGATCGCAGAAAAAATAGTATGTGTATTTCGGTGGAAAAGCACATTCTCGGCCTTCGGTGTTTGCCGGCCTCGGCTACGCCTCGCCCGTCAAGTTACACCGTCGGCCGAAAATGTGCCACTTTTCCACCTAAATACACAATATACTATTGTTATTTGAGATATTTTTAAGAAACACTAAAGGAATAAAAGGTTGTCGCTCTGGAAAGGGGGGGGGGGGCAATTGCCCCCTTTGCCCCCCACCCCTGTATACGCCAATGAGAGCGCCCATCGAAATAGCGTGGCTTATAATGTGGCGTGTGATCTAGCAAGTAGTACGCATCTAGCATGCTACATCAAATCAAGCGAACATAAACAAATAAGCAAGAGCCCACTGAAGTAACAAGGGAAGTAACATGCATTCAGTGGCACGTATTAAGGCGTATGCCACTTGCTAGATCACACGCCACTTCATAAGCCACGTTAATTCGGTGAGCGCCCTGCCTAAGAGGTAAAACTGCGAACAATATTTAACTCGAAACTCGAAGTAAATATTCACACACATGACTTGAAGTTGGAAAACGACACATTTTTATATCCAATTCGTATGTCGACGTGGAGAACACTAAAGTCAATATCCACCTTTTCTTCGAAACTCTGTATTTTCAATAATATTGAAAATATCAGAGTGACTGAAACATGAAAATGTCCAGAAAAGATCAGGCTACAATTTGGTGTTGAAAACTGTTCTGAATTTCCAGTGGTTCACTCCACTGGGTGTCTCAAAAAACTCTGAAAGACTTTCTTTCCATGCCTGTAAATGATATAGAGACGAATCATTTAATAACGATTATACGTCAGATGTATTCCTGAAGAATCCACCAACAATCTCTGGAAAATACATCGAAATCGAGCGGAGGGTTCAAGAGAAAATTGATGTCAAATATAGTGTAAATTTTGTCCGTTCCCTTAATTTTGTGTGTGTAGTTGAGATTCTCAAAATAGTTTTATTGTTTTAATTTAAGAAATAGAGAAAAATTCTGACAAATTCATCTCAAACAACAACGTATTTTATATGCTGGAACATGTTCCAGCATAATTATGTACATTAAATAACATCAAACACCCTCATCTTAGTATTTTTGCTCTGAAACGTATTCTTGCAAACTTTTCTAAGCTTTGAAGCCAATTCTTGCGCTATATCATTATCTGGATCTGTTTTTATTACACGTTCAACCTGTATTAAAGCATTTTCATACTCTTTCAAACCTAAAAAAAAAGAATCCATATTATTATATTTTTATCACGATTAACCGATCTGGTCCAACTCAATTAAAAAAAAAATCGAGAAGTTTGAGCAAAGACAAAAACAATTACCATTTATCACTTAATCCTTTACCTTCTAAAGCTTGCGCCTTTCTCAAATTAGCCTTCAAATTTCCTTCATCAAGTGCTAAAACTTTATTAGTATCCTCTAAAGCCTCTTTAAAATGTCCAAGTTTCAAATGAGTCAACGCTCGATTATTAATATTGATGACTTGTGGTTTGCTCAAAATACTTTGAGTGAAGCATTTTAGAGCCAACTCGTAGTCACCAGCAACATAAAATTCCCTGCCCTTTTCCAGTTCACGGTCTGACAGGTACGCAGCTTCCGTTTCTGTCGAGTGTTGATTGAATGACACGGATTTTTTCGGTTTTCGATCGAGTCCAGCCATTACGAAACAGGATTGGCTACTAGTTCCAGCGTAAACAAATTGCTCGGCTTCTTTTCTGAGTTTCTCAGAAGCTTTTTCAGCTTTTTTAGCTTCGATTTTCATTTTTTCTTCTTCTAATTCTTGTTTCAGTAATTCAGCGTCGGGATCGTACCTGTCCCAAGCTTGAAAGTCAGTTGAAGCAATTCGGGTAGTAGATTTTGGTGTTGTTACGGTAACAGGTTTATGTTGAAGTTCTGTTTGGCGAATTTTCACGTCACATCTAAAAAACATTTTGATTTAAAAAAAAACATGCAAAATACATAAATTATTACTGTATTTTATTAGTCTTTCTTTTATCCAATTCTCGGCTATTCTTGGACATATCGGTGACCCATTGTCGTAAATCTTGATTAATTTCATTCCTGTCATTCTGAAGCAAATCTTGTTTGCGGAGGACCGGAGTGCTGTACTTCAGAAGCTTACTTTCCGGTTTCAATCTTTGAAGTTTGTCTTCTATGGCTCTGAATTTATCAAAAAATTAATTCAATGTGTCAGCAAATGAGTATTGTCAGTTCCAAATCATTCTGACTTGACTAGCAGTGTGACTTATAATGCCCCAGAAGACGGAACTAGCCCGAGGGTCTCTGGCCCGAGTGATATATTTTGCCTGAAGGGCATTATAATTTAACAATGCCCGTAGTGCATACAATGCTTTATTTTCTACTGAACCTAATGTTCTTTCATCAATTTTTGTATCATAGAATCTTTTATTGTATTTTGACTACGTGTACCTAAGAAACGAAATAAGTTAATATACGTATAAACACCTCAGGGCATTATAAGCGGATATTTTATAGACCATAAAGCCCGCTAATGATAGGTTTTTATTAATTAAATGAGGGTATATTATTAGCGGGCGTTATGATATATAACGCCCCCGCACGGGCATAATAGTTATTTATGTATCAAGGGTACTAAGTAGATGATTATGCCCTGAGGGCGACAGTCTTACAAAGCCGAGGGCCTTTGGCCCGAGGGTTCGTAAGTCGCCCGAGGGTATATATATCTATTAGTACCCGTGGTGCAAACAAACTTTTATGTCATACCAGTTGGTTGTGAATAATAAATACCTGGGAAAAAAGTGTCACTTCGCAAATTGTCATAAGTGTGCAAACATCATCATTTTTTGACAAAAATATGTTAGTGAGCGTAAATTTATATTTTGTTAATAAAGAATAAGTTAATTGAAAACTGTTTTTTGCGTGTTTATGCCCGCGCGGGCTATAATGTGTACTTTATGCCCGCACGGGCATAAAGTGATGAATTATGTAGATGGTATCTAAGGTATAAAAACACAATAATGTATTGGTATGACATAAAGTAATGAATTATGTAGATGGTATCTAAGGTATAAAAACACAATAATGTATTGGTATGACATAATAGTTATTTATGTATCAAGGGTACTAAGTAGATGATTATGCCCTGAGGGCGATAGCTACGTCAAATTGAATATCAATGGTGGTACTTTTTTCCTTGTCAGACCACGGGCAATGAATAAGACTAGAGTGATACCTTGCATTAGGTTTAAACACAGCACTGTTACATTACCAACTTTTGTACCAAAATATTTGACATTAGTTAAAATCTGTTTTTTTTTAAAGATAAAAGTCAAATTGACATTATGTTGGCAATACAATGTAAAATTATCAATACTTTCAAATTTCTTGTGTAGAAAAGGCTTGTGTTGCCAACATAGTTACTAAATTTTTGACTTGGGGAATTATCTTAAAAAAAAACAGACTTTATGTAGTAACTTCCGTCTGCTGGTCATTTAACATTAATTTGAATAAACTTCATCAGATATAGGTAGTTGGTCAAAAGCTCTATGGTCTATTTTTTCCCAAGATAGATTTTTGACATTGGCAACTTTGAAACATTAACAATGCCGCTTATTGGTCGCAAGATGCCATTTGCACGACATACATTCCTTGCGTTTTTATTCTCATCAAATTTTACCGATGGATCCACCATTCTATGGCCGTCATTGTCATTTTTCATTCACTAAAAAAAGATAGCTAACGCACCGGTGAAGTCACCAATGAGAATAAAAACGAGGGGATTGTAAAACTGATTCCAACCTGCAGGGACACCTCAATTTGCGACCAATCAGGCCCAAGCGGTATTGTTTATGTTTCAAAGTTTTCAATGTGAAAATCTATCTTGGGAAAAAATAGACCATATTATATTTATTATCAAATTAATGTTTCTTTTACCTCAGCAAATCCGGAAAGTATCCTTCTTGTCCGCTCCTCAATACAAGCGTCATTTTCTCCAGTTCTTCAGCGTCTTTAGCCTTGGCCACATAATCAAATTCGTAATGTTGAATGGGGATTCCGTATTTTTCCATCAAAGACTCCCCTCGGGCATGGTTAATGTAAACGTTTTGCTGATATTCCTCAATATTTTGCAAATCTTCGATTGTGGACATTTTTGTAGAAAATGTAACACAAATTCTAATATTGATTCAACAAAAGGGGGGTTGCTATCATATATGGTTGCTATAGGCTTCATTGGAATAAACAAAACGGTCGATTGCTTGCTGACTCCAATGACACTCTGATTGAATGATAACAATGACATATTGATGTTGTCAATGCTATATTTATTGGAAAGTTGGACTCAAAAATTTCGCTCAAGCTAACAGCACTGCAATAAGTGAAACGGTTTGCCGTTAAGTTGACAATAATTAGCTGAGCTGTACATCTTCAGACCATTGGCGTAAAGAAGGGAGGCAACGAAATAATACAAAACAGGACCCAACGTAGGTACTTGATAAGTAATAGATGTGAAATCCTTGTGGATCCCCAGAGGTAACCTGCACCTCATGAGGCGCAGAGTCCCAGAAACTTCAACTAGTTTGTTTCCTATTCAAAAGGTTTGATTCATAGTCTCATTGTGTCCAACGCAGTCAGTTCCTCAAGCTACCAACTTCAAACAACTTCGTAAGAAAGACATCAAATGCTTTGGGCAGGTCGTCAACATTGCATCTACCTGCTGTCAGTGTTTCAATGCTGATACCATAGGCTGATACCATAAACAATTCTGGTGAATTCCCCGGGTTGATGGCAGCAGAACGACACATGGAAAAAAGCATGTTGTTAATCTATAATCTAGCGTTTATATACATATAAGGAATATTTCATCAGGAAGTATCTCTTCAAAGAGCTCAGAGATGGCTCAGAATATTGAAATGCCTCGATTGATAGTTATTAAATAGAAGGATATTTTGTAGTGGAAGAACAAGGGAACAGTGGCGGTTCGCCCATATGGGCAAGGTGAGCACCGCCACCCTGAAAAAGAATGGAAAAATAAAAAATGCGTTTAATTGAAGTGGATGGCGTCGTGGGAGAAGGTTTTGGTGATAGCTTTGGCAACTTTGCTGTATTTGAAAGGGCCGCGACCTTGAAAATCTTTGAAAAAAATCGCCTAGGGCTGTTTTTTTATTTTTGTCGCTCACCCTTACTTGGACACCACGAGCCGCCACTGCAGGGGAAGATGATCAACTATTCGAAAGCATTGTGCGAACACCATCGGGTCCGGTGGAATTGCAACGTTGTGTGGAATGATGCAATGGTAGAAATATCAACATCAGTATATTTAGAAAAAGAGGACAGGAAATAAAGCCTGCCATATTTTGAGAATTGTTCAGTTCTCGACCTCTGAGGACCATAGAGGATAGAAACAATAAAAAGTGCGAAATGTCTTATGTTTTTAGGAACCAGGTTCTCGGCATTGGATACATTTATGTAGGAGGTAGCACATATCAGACCTGAATTTCACTTATCTTCGACCATCGGATAATTGCTTCTTAATCACTAGCGAGGCGGCTCCTTTTGTACTTATTGGGTTGTTCGCATTTTCGAAGATCTCTGCCAAACCAACTAGGAAATTTATTTGGTAGCACAATGGTTCTCACAACAAATCTCATATTTGAACTGACTACAACATTCTTATTTAAACTGACTTCAAACTGACTCAGTACGCGCTATTCAGTGGCGCACCCAGGTTTTTTTATTTGGGGGGGGTTTTCATAATGATGAAGGCTCGCCGCAGGCAGGCGCTGCCATAGGCCGGCCGCCATAGGAAGAATTTTTTTTCGGGTGTCACGCCCAAAAACGTTTATTTTAGGCCTTCAAAAAATAACTTACTATAACACAGGCAGATGGATCAAGTCCATGCTAAAACACAGGACTATAAACTCGACTATTGCTGAAACCTCTATTAAAGTAACAGCGACAAAAGGATGCCCACAGGGCGGAGTACTTTCACCACTCTTGTGGAATCTAGTCGTGGATGAACTTTTGAGGAAACTAAACGATCAAGGCTACATCACCCTAGGCTACACGGATGACATAGTCGTTGTCATTAGGGGAGGATTTACCAGGATGGTATCAAACCTCATGCAGGACGCCTTAGGAATCATTGAGGAATGGTGCACGAGTGAGCAACTTCGCGTCAACCCCTCCAAAACAAAACTCATTCCTTTCACGAGAAAAAGAAATCTGGAGAGCTTATTTACTCCCAGTCTATTCCAAAAAACCTTGGACTTTAGGGAAGCTAAATTTTTAGGCGTCATCCTAAATATGAAGCTGACATGGAACCAACACATCCAAAAGATAACCGCCAAAAGCAAGATGACGTTGGGGTCACTAAAAAGTACGATTGGGAAAACATGGGGACTAAAACCGTCAGTTTTACAATGGAAATACACTAAGACAAGCAAACCTGCAGCTAGCCAAAATCAAGAGACTTGCGTGTCTTTCTATTACCGGTATACAGAGAAGCATACTAACGGCAAGTATGTCAACCTCTGGGAGAATACACTTTTGTATTCCAAGCAGAAATATATATCATCGACTCCTGTCTGAGAGAAAACCTGAGGAGGGGATACACAGGTAAAAACATCCATATCTGCTTGAACGGTCAAGCGTCGATCAATGCACTGAACAGCTTTGAAATAAAATCCAAACTTGTCTGGGAATTCTTGGAAAACCTCAAAAACCTAAGTATGGCCAACAAGGTAACCCTTAAATGGGTGCCAGAGCATAAAGGAATTGAAGGAAATGAAAAAGCAGATGCTATAGCAAGAGAAGGATCGGAAATACTCGTTATACTGGTCCTGAACCAGCAATTGGCACCACAAAATCATCGGTAAGAACAAAAATAAACCAATGGGTGTATATAGACAACACAAAACCTACTGGCACTACCTCTTCCGAAGCTCAGACACAGTAAGCTAATGAAGACAACCATCACCTAAACTTACTGAAGAAATCCTACAAACCAAACAGGAATCACATCAGGCTAATAACTGGACACTGTAGCCTGAGAAAACACCTTCACACAATGGGCATCCTCCAAGAACCCATAAGCAGACTTTGTGAGTTGTGACGAGGAAGATGAAACCGCCACCCACATAATCTTTGATTCTTTGAATGTGAGGTTTTACGCTGGTGGAGATATAGACAGATAGCGGCAGAAGACCCTATCTCTAAACTCACCAAAAGTAACACGGTGAAGAGGCTCCTAAACCTAAACTTTTTACTGACTAAACAGACGAACAGGACAATACAATAAGTCGACGGCTGCAGTGTTAGGGCCACCTAATTTGGCCTGTTCATTCTGCATCTCAACCAACCAACCAACCAACCAACCAAGTGATTGTATAAGTTATGTGTTTATTTCGCTGTTTACTCACCTAAATCAACTCGCTGTCGGAAGCAAAACCTTTTAGGGGTGCCATATATGTAAAATGGAAAGTTTGTAGGTACCTATTAACCAAAATCGAAAAAACAATATGTTTACCGGAAAATTCTTTGTACCAGTACTAAATTTCGGGGGGGTTTTAACCCCCAAAACCCCTCCCCTTGGGTGCGCCACTGGCGCTATTTATATACCTACACGACCTCCATCTAGGTACTCCTCGGCATCCATATTCTCCAGAGGTTTCGACCTCTGTGAAATTTGTGCGCCTGACCTTGACGTGGTGATGGGGCTTAAAGTCGCACAGACAGCCAAGGAGAGGTACACCCAAGCCAAGGTGGGAGTCATCGTGCCAAGGGATGCATGGCATTGGGGTAGCAATGTCACGAACGATCCCTTTGGGGCACCGGCAGGAACCCCATCGTATTCACTCCTTACTCCTACACGCGGGGAGCACTCATTTCCTCAGCTACTCGTGGGAATCTTATGAGTAAGAATAAAAATAAAAACAGACAGAAATACTCTGCTGAAATTTCAGGGGCTAGGACCGATTGTAAAAAGAGGGAAGACACCTCAGTCAAAGCGCAAAGGAAAGGCGGCAGTACTTTGGGAAAACCCCGAGTTTCGGTCGAAGGCCTCCCTGAGCTTGGAAAACCAGGAGGCCTGGACGACCCGCGAAGGATGGGCCTAAGCGGGGCAGGAGCAAAGAAATACCCAGTGGCGTAGCGTGAGATTTCGTCGCCCGGGGCCGACCAGAAATGTGCCGCCCCCTCCATTTTATGTATTAGCACAGGGGTGCGATTTTCGAAACCATTCGAGTACATTTCGTACACGAAATTTGACTGACAGCACTATAAATTAAATGGAGAGCATTCGAAATCATATCAAACGCAGGCGAAAATATTCGAAAATACGACCCCAGGTATTAGTCAAGAAAAGTAGTAAAAGTCAAATAAAGCATCTATACTGTAATAGGAAATTTTCATATTTTTCAACTGCTGATCAGATAATACTTAGTTTCCTTTTTTTCCATTTTAATTTATACGTTGTATGAGAAAAAAATTATTGAAATTCAAATCAAAACTTTGTCGCGGAAACGCGAGGTTTCAATATGACAGCGCCCGTAACGTCAAGATTTCGTAAACAGCAAACGCAGAAAACAAACTCCTGCTGACGCAATGCTATTTTTGTGTTATTTCAGTGTGGTAAAGTTTGCTTTCTGTGGAAATTGTCGCAATGGATGAAGAATATTGTGAAGGACTGCTTTTGAAAATTTTATTCCACTTACAAGTTCCCTATTGACAGGCTTGTTTACAGAATCGTGACGTCAAAAAAGGTAGCCATCATGGAAGCATTGTTTTGGTATTATTTTTTGTGTAACAAGGGCGGTATCGGTTGAATAAAAACTTGTCATATGAATATTGTGCAGTATAAACTACCAATTTAAAACAAATTTGAAAAATTCTATTTCACTTGCAAGTTCCCTATTTAGACGATGGCGATTGAGATTTTTGATTAAAATTTGCCGCCCCTCCTCGTATGCCGCCCGAGGCCATGGCCCCCTCTGCCCCCTCTTCGCTACGCCATTGGAAATACCTCAGGTACCTGGCACAGGGCATGACACCTGAGGCAGCCAGGGCAAGGGTAGATAAAGAGGAAGAAGAGAGGATAAAGCAACAAATGCTGACTCCTGCATCCTCATCTTCGTCCAGATTGGAGGACCGCAAAGAAAGCAAGAGGGGAAATTAGAATATCACACCCCGTCAAGGACCAAGCAGCAAGATGAGGAAAGTGTACCCTTCCAAATCCATCGCAACCGCAGCAGGGACTAG